CGCAGGCAGCTGGGAGGAGCAGGCAGCTTTGCCATGCTGCTGTTATCCATCCACTCCCTGGCCAACGTGCCCTTCCCACCAGCTATGCCTAGTCCAGGAGGCGGCAGCTAACAACAAAAAAACATATAATCTGGACAAATACACACACGTGACAGCAAGTCAAGCAAAGGAAAATTAATCAAGGTTGAAGACTTAGCTTAATTTTTAGCCAAAACCTTGTGGAAATGCTGAACAAAACAACTTGCAGGCTTTCCCCCCCCTCCCCCTCCCTGGCGTGTCCTTGGGGTTGTTTTGAACTCGGAAATGCTGCTGTCACTTCCCAAAGGTGCTTGCTGGGAAAGCTGAGGGATGGGGAAAGGAGCAGCAGAGAGGGGATGAGGCTGAAATTCTGAGTCACAGGGCTTTCGCCCTCCCCAGCAAAAATATTCCAGCGATGTCTAGCCTGATCTCAGCAAAGTGATGGTTATACAGATGCACAGCAGCCTTTGGGGCTGCTACCAAAAGACCTTTGGTGCTACCAAAAGGGCTCAAGGCACTCTAACTCCCTGCAAAATACTGGTATTCCAGCAGTTTGGCGTTTTCAGCTCAAAAATGTCTGTTGGAAACCAGCCGCAAGCCTTGGATGTGTGATTCCCACCCGGGCTCTGATGGTTCCCTTGCCAAGGTTCCTCTTCCCAGGCAGCAGGGACAAGCCCCGCAAGATGCAGGGGAACAAGGAGCTCATTGGCAGCCCCAGACTCTGCTGCTCAGGCTGGAGAAGCGTTGCAATGGGGTGGTTTTCCTGCTCCTTACACCTCTCCCAGGCACGAGCACCAGCTGCAGGGTCCAGAGACCCTCCAACACCACGAACACCTCGCTGTGCACATCCTTGGCCTCTGCCCCATGCTAAGGTCTCTCCCAAATCCCTTTTCTGCTCCTGGAGAAGGGTCCTCCCGTTGTATGCATCGATGCCCTGAGCCCGTTTTATCTTGTAATGCTGGATGAGGTGCTGGAGCAGGGGCATGCAGATTCAGATGCAGCCCAGCAGCCACCAGCAAATCACTGCAGCCACGGGGACCCGTTCCCTTAGGGACAGGACTTTTACATGGAAGAACAAAGTTAAGGACAGCAGGAGCCCACCTTTAGCCAACACACCCTGCTCTCATCACTATGACACAGCTTTCCAGACCCAAACCTGGAGCTCATTACACAGACGGAGTGCCAGCTGTCAAAGGCCACTTTCCATCTTACCAAACAATAATCCACAGCCTGCCTAAATAAATAGACCTCACACCGTCCTGTGAATCAACCTCACTCCCAGTAGGGCTGTGGAAACTGGTTTTTACGTTTGGTGTTTTTTTTTTGGGGGGGGGTCTCAACCCCAGGTTTGGCTGTGCCTGGTGCCATGTTGACACGATGGAGGTGGCACCTCCAGACCTGCTGCAAGTATGACTGGTACAGCTGGGGAAAATGCTGCATGAATGAACTGTGCCTTAGATTAGATTACAGGAAAATTAGTCTTTGATAATGCTGCCATTAGCAGTGGCTCCGTAATGTGTTTGCACAAGGGCAGGAAGGAAATTAAGCAGGCTAGTTAAGGATGAAAGTTCCCATTTCCTGGCATTAGAGCCTGGCAGGGTTTTAATTGAGGCAGAAGAAACCTTCAGGAGCATTTGGGAGCTGAAGACCAGGGCATGATCCCTCACACAGACATCAATTTGATCTCCATGATGCCTCCTGCTGCCACGCCCCAGGGAAGGAGAGCCTGGCTCAGTGGCACAGGGTCCCCCCACCATGGTATGGGGGTGCAAGGGTGAGGCAAGAGCAAGTTCCAGCTGCAATAAGCATGTCAGTGACATCTCCAGATGAGGCTAGCAGCCCAGATTGCCACAGTTTTGCAGATGAAGTAGCTCAGAGTGGTATCACACACTCAATTCAAGCCATCCCTGGGCTCTCGGCTGGTAGAAACCACCTTGCTCCAAAGCAGCTCTGCTTTGGCAGCACCGAGCGCTCTCCAGCCATCAGGGGAAAGAACCACCAATGCCTCCAACAGCATTAAAAGCATTTATACTCTCAGCCCTCTCAAGCAAGCAATCCAGCCGTCAGCATAACTGAGCACCCTGGAGACAGGAGCACTCTTCCCGGCAGGCTTGACTGGCAGGGGAACAACACCCTCCCCCTCCATTTCAGCAGCTCAAGCTTAGCACCACACAGACAACTCTTGCTTTCAACTCAACTCAGTGTCCAAAACCCCCCAAATTATGACTCGTTTCCCTCCTATCCTCATCCTGACCTCAGCAGCATCCTCACCACGGCGGGAGGTTAAATGCATCAGCCAAGGCTGTGTTGGGGATCGGTGCTTCAAGGCAAGACTTCAACCTGTATTTTTCTTTCCCACGTGGAAACTGAGGAAGGACCAGGAGGTACAACCAGCTTCCCTGGAAGCAGCAAGGAGCTGCGAGACACCAGGATTTAATTTAGTGAGTCTATCCATGGCCCATGCACCCTTCCAAAGGGATTCTTGGAGGCAGTGATTTTGGTACGGGGCTTGACTGGCTGCCTTGCAGATCCCTAGGCTGCTCCCATATTAGAAAAAATCCAAAAGTCTTATGCCTGAGGGTCCCAGACACCGTTTTATCCCCCAGCCCCCTCCCCTCTAGGATAACATTGTTATTTCAAGCTTGCACCAGCGTGAAGAGACTGGAATGTGGCTTTTTATACGGAGTGCAGAGCTGTCTTAGAGAAGGGCCACCTGCTAGATCAGCTCTGGCTCGCATTTCACTGGAAACATCCCGAAAGCTGTGGGAACACGCTATTCTCAGCGGCGAAGGGGGAATGAGATATGACAGGGCAGGGGGCTCGTGGTGAGGAGACTGTTCCAGCTCCTGCCCACCCCAGACCATCAAGCACTGTGATGTCAGTCCCGAAATATCCCTGGTAGGACTAACCTGCGGACGTTCAGCTGGCTCGGCAGCAGATTTAGCAGGCAGGGAGCTCAGCTCCAGCTGCACCAGTCAGAATCACGTACTCCTGTGCAGGACGGAGCAGCCCCTGGGACGTTGAGCTGGAGGAGAGCGGACCTGGCCCAAACCCCCTTTGCAGCCAGCTTTGACTCTGGACATCATAGAATCATAGAAAGTTTTGGGTCGGAAGGGACCCCTAGAGGTCATCTAGTCCAACCCCCCCCCCACCGCAGCGAGCAGGGACACCACTAACTAGATCAGGTTGCTCAGAGCCCTGTCCAGCCTGGTCTTGAATGTTTCCAGGGATGGGGCCTCCACTACCTCTCTGGGCAACCCGTTCCAGTGTTTCACCACCCTCATTGTAAAGAATTTCTTCCTTATATCCAGCCTAAAGCTACCCTGTTTTAGTTTAAAACCATTACCCCTCGTCCTGTCACTGTTGTCTCTACTAAAAAGTTTGTCCCCATCTTTCCTATAGGCTCCCTTTAAGTACTGAAAGGCTGCAATCAGGTCTCCCCGCAGCCTTCTCTTCTCCAGGCTGAACAAGCCCAACTCTCTCAGCCTGTCCTCATAGGAGAGGTGCTCCAGCCCTCGGATCATTTTTGTAGCCGTCCTTTGGACCCGCTCCAACAGTTCTATGTCCTTCTTGTGCTGAGGGCTCCAGAGCTGAACGCAGTACTCCAGGTGAGGTCTCACCAGAGCAGAGTAGAGGGGCAGAATCACCTCTCTCGACCTGCTGGCCACGCTTCTCTTGATGCAGCCCAGGACACGGTTGGCCCTCTGGGCTGCCAGCGCACATTGCCGGCTCCTGTCCAGCCTTTTGTCTATCAGTACCCCCAAGTCCCTCTCAGCAGGGCTGCTCTCGAGCCTTTCATCCCCCAGCCCGTATTGATACTGAGGATTACCCCAACCCAGGTGTAGGACCTTGCACATCACCCCGAAAGACTTCCAACCCACATGCAGGCACCCCACCAGCCCCAGTTTCCCTTCTGCAGCCTGGCCATGACCCTCAGGGCGTCCCCAGCCCTCACTGCAACAGTGAGATTCCCAGCTCTGGGTCAATCCCTCAGTCCCCAAAACCCAGCAAGCTCCCCAGGTAGCAAATGTGTTATCTCCAGGCTGTGCGTGACAAGGGCCACTTCAGCTGCTTCTTTTGTAGAGACACTTCAAGTCACGGGGCACCTTCTGCCTTGGACTTGTCTGCAGAGTTACCAGGCATTAGGAATAGGTGCTGAATGCCTCCTGTCCCTTTCAGGAGGCAATTCAAACCGCCAAGTACTGCTCCCCAGGCTCATCCCATTCCCCTCCCCTTGCTTGCCCGACCCCATGGGAGCCACTTCCATGAGCAAACCCAGCTGAAAACTTGCCTTAGAGACAAACCAAAAAGCAACTTCAGACTTGGCTGCATAGTCCCATCGGCAGGAGGTCCAGAAAACAGCCCATGGATGCAGGAGGAGCAGGATTGTCCCACAGGAGCAACTGGCATGGCTTGCATCGTCCTCAACACCAGCTCTGCAACATCCAGCAAACCCCTTCGTGGTGAATCTCCCAAGGAAAAGGGGTCAAGCAGACATCAAATCCCCGCTGCAGGGATATACACACACCCCAGCACACCCTGTACGCACACATTCTTCTGCGTTGCATTGCTCGGTATCACCCTGGATATCCCAGGCTGTTTGCTGGAAGGCAGCCACCACTTTGCATCTAGTTACCTGGTTTCCCAGCAAACAAACTGGAGTTCAGAGCCCCTGTCCTTGCTGTTGTACAGGGGCAGGAAAGCTCTCAGCGTCTCGCCGTGGCACTGAAGGATGCTTTTTCAAGGACAGGGATTTCTTTTCCTCTGTCTTTGAAAGCTGCTGGCAGAGATGTGAAGCCAACACATACCCAGGGGCACCCCCAGGCACTTTCCCTGCTGGAGAGGAAAAGGGGAGACCAGCAACAGAGCCAGCTTGGCTCAGAAACCTGCCCCAGGCTGCCAGAAGGGCTTGCTCCAGGGCAGACACCTGCAAAGACCCTGCCGTCAAGGAGGGTTCATCTCCAGACCCCACCTCTGTCCCCATGGCGGGCAAGGCAGGGGAGCCTCGGATCCCGCTGTCACTGCAGTGCTCCCGGCTGAAGGCTGAGGAGAAGACCCTGGATTTTGAGTTTGAGGTGGTCAGTGCCCAGTTTAACCAGCGGGGCCACTATGCTCTGCGGCTCACCGTGGAGAATCCGCTGCTGCAGGGCTCTGGCACTGGCGTCCAGCTCAGCATCAACAGCGGGAAGGTCATCCGGAGCAGCACTGGCACCACTGACACCATCGAGCAGGCCAACCTCAACCAGATCTACTCCTTCCAGAGGAGGAAATTCACCTTCACCCTGCCCAGAGGTAAGAGGCTGGATGCCACGGGGGTTAGCATGATTGATAAGGCGATAGGAAATGGACTGAAGTTGCATCAGGGGAGGTTTAGATTGGATATCAGGAAAAATTTCCATACTGAAAGAGTGGTCAGGCATTGGACCAGGCTGCCCAGGGCAGTAGTGGAGTCCCCATCCCTGGAGGGGCTCAAAAAACCTATTGATATTGCACTTCAGGACATGGTTTAGCAGGCGTGGTGATGTTGGCTTGGTGGTTGGACTTGATGAACTTAGAGATCTTTTCCAACCTCAATGATTCTATGAGTGGCTGACAGGGGAAGCAACGCAGGAGCATGGCTCTGCAGCCAGCACAGCCTGTCTGAGGCTTGCAAACTCCTGCACCATGCTCACACCTTCACCCCTGCAGCAAAACCCTGAGCTGGAGTCAAAGCTATCTGAGCTTAGTGGGGTGGACGGTGCAGGTCCAGCTTGGAGAGTGGGGCCAACACCACCAACGATGCAAACTCTCCCAGCTCAATATCCGGATGTATCCAGGCTAGATAACCCATTTCCTGGTGTTTACAGAGCAGAAGTAACCAGGGCTGCTGATGGATGAGCCCAGGAGATGCTCCTGGGACCACCAGCCCTCCTAAGCAAAACTTCAACCCCCATCACTCCCGACAGGTTTCTGCAAGAACGACAAGAACCACGACGTGCGGCTGCGCATCGAGGCCCTGCACTTCCCCAGGAGGGCAGAGAGGATGAGGAGCAGCCAACAGGTGGGCGAAGCCTTCTTCGCCATCTACCCCCGCACCAACCAGCCCCGGATGAAGCTCTCGGCCAGGAGGGATGAGGACTGGTACCGCTACAGCGCCGTGATGACTTTGCTGCGGGTGGGCAGCGAGCAGCCGGCGATGCACTGCGGCCGGCTGGCCTTCACCGCATCCCTGCACGAGCACCGGCCACCCACCACACTGGCTTCACCCTCACCACTGTCCACTGGTACCCAGGAGATAGAGGACCAGCAAGCAGCATCCCCAGCCCTGGACATCCCTGTTCCCAGTCGGTCACTCCGTACGCCCGAGTCTGCTTACCGCTCGCTGCCGACCGAGGGCCATGCCCGCTCACCTGAGGTAGAAGAGCCCAGATTTGGGGGGTCAGAGATCCTGTGCTCCAGCAAAACAGGGGCAGACCAGTCTGCTTAGGACAGGATTTGGCCCTAGGGTAGCTAGATGGCCCCACACAGGCACCAGCTAGAATAAAAGCAAAGAGGGAGAGGTCTCTATGGCTTTCAGGTGCATCTTTGGTAAACAGCACAGCCCTGCCTCAGTTTCCACTTCCTCATTCCACAGTATTGCTGGGTAGAAATCTGGCGCCTGTCACCAAAGTAAGGAACCTCTTTGCCCAGAGCAGGAGGAAGTTGGGACAAGCTCAAGATACAGGCAGGTTCTTGGTGAGGCAGCAGCCACCCAAGCAAAGAGGGTCCTACAGTCAAACCACCCTCAGAGATGTAGGAAAAGAGCCTTTATGGGATATTAACCTGGCTCTGCCCACCCCAGAAAAGTCCAACACGATGTTAACCATCACCTACAAAGCACAAGACCTCCAGCTTGCCCCACACCTCACCCACAGCAGGACCAGAACCTCCAAGCCAGCTGCTCAACCCACCCAGACCCCCCTCACCTTCCTGGGTGGTGCAGGGCAGCCCCTGCATCAGAGACCCCCAGGGAGCGTGAAGCTCCCCAGCATCACCCTGCCCTCCTCTGCTCCATTCTTTTAAGGGTTGGGAGCAGCTGGTCCCTATAAAGGATGGAGGGAGGGCTGGGCTGCTAAAAAGCTTATTAATTAGATAATTTTTTAATAGAGAATAGGTTTGTCCTTTTTTTTTTTCTTTTCTCCTGAGGCAGCTGGGACTGTGGAGGAGCAATCCCTACTCCAAAATAAATGTTGTTGGGGTGGTTATGGCTGGTTTAGGGTTTTGGCTTTTTTGATTTCTTGCAAAAGTTCTGCGCTTGAAAGGTGAGGTCCTGCGCTCAAGTGTTAGGGGGTGGAGCTGGGGTGCAGAGGGGTCTCCCTGCAGTGTGGAGGGGGATGTTATGGGGGACACTGGGAAAGGGGTACTGGAGCCCAAAGCTGGATCTTCAAACCCCTTCTCTCAAACCCAGAGGCTGCCGGCTGACCCTGCACTCAGCTCCTCCCCGGAGCTCCCAGGTGACTCAGCAGATGAGCATCCTTCCTCCTCCTCCTCCTCTTCCTCCGTGCCTGCCCCTGCTGTGTCCAGCCTCAGCAGCTTCCACCTCTCCTCACCAGGCTACAGCCCGGATCTGGCCTCCTCGCCAGCGCAGGTGAGTGCCGTCGGTGGAGAAGACACCATCCTAAATTAATAACAAAATGCTATTATTCTTATTAGTTTCCCGTTAGAGCTTTGCAGTACTGGAGAGAAGATGGAGGGGTGTGAGGGGTCATGGCCACCTCCATCCCAGCCCCGGCCCAGCATGGGTACCAGCGCTGCTCCTGCTCCCAGGCCATTGCCTCCCCAGCCTGGTTGTGGGGAGGGGGAAACGAGACATCAAACTTTGCATTTCCAGTACCAAAAGACAGCCCCACAAGCTGGCTGTCTCCAGGCAGTGGATGGTGTCACCCAGAAGTTCTTAAAATGCTGACTGTGGGCATCTGGGGTTGATAAATCTTAAATATTTCAACTTGCAGCACAAATCTAGACTTCTAAAAACTGCAGAAATCATAGGGCAGGGCTAATGCTGTCCGAGAGGCTGTATTTCTCTTTCTTTAGTTATGTTCAAAGCTGTCTAAATAAAGGAAAATAAGGCAAGCCTTACCCCAGGGGCTCGGTTTCCTGCATCTCACTGCAAGAATAACACGGCCGTTGATGAAGATGTTGTTTGTGCCGCTCTCAGAGGTGTCTCACACACCTGTGAAAACACCACTTGAGAAAGCTGGGTTACGGCACCGGAGATGGGATTGATCTCATGAACCTTCCCCAGGCATCCTCTGGGCTCTCTGCTCCTTCCAGGGAGTCCCCCATGTCCTCCATGGGCTGGTGGGAGAGTTGGGATGGTGGGCTTGATGGCAAGGTCTTCTGCAGCCTCTGGGTCACCAGATAATGCTGCTGGCTCAGGGATGGGACTGGCAGCCCATAGCCCCCAGCTAAGGGCTTCTGTGGTGGGGAGGTGACAAGGGACTCCACAGGTGGTGGCTCGTAGCTGCGGTGCCATAACCAGGACGTCCTAAATGCTGTCCACATGCTTCTTGGTCCCGGTGACTACATTGGTGTGGCTGCAGGGTAAAAATTGGGTTGGCGTCCCTCTCCCCAGCAGTGTGCCCCGCACCGGGGCTGCCTGCTGCAGCGGTGCTGCAGGACGGCTTCGTGCCTCAGCCCTTTCCCTTGCACAGGAGAAAAGCGTTGCTGATGGCTTGTGGAGTGCTTGCTCCACGCATTTCACAGGAGTTACGGGGTGCTTGAGCCCCACTGAGCCCCTCTCCCGGGCAGCTGCCTGCTCCTTGCACCGCGGGCAGGATGCTGAGCATTGCAGTCCCTCAGGACCCTGGGACTCCGCACCCTTCGCAGTACTTGGCCTCGCATGATTTTCAAGTGGATGTGCTATCCCCACCCTGATCAGCCGAAAATTTACTGGCCAGAAATGCTGATTAGAGAGGCCTGATTGAGTTTGCTCAGCAAATGTCTAGACATAAACTCCTTCAAGCCGCGGCAATCGATAGCAATCAGCTGGGATGCGGAGCGGGATGCGGAGCTGGGCCAGGGGCGTAAGGCAAGGCATTAGCAAATGCAATTTTGCTCCTGGGCCCCCGGAGGGAATGCGATAAATCACCTGCTGCTGATGTCACCCGGCAAGTATTTGCCAGAACGGTTTTTATTTAAAAATTAAAAGCGGAGAGGCGGTGGGATGTTGGCTCCCTGCCCTCCTGGGAGGGCTGGAGTGATGAAAACGGTGTTGGAGGGTGGCTGAGCTGGTCTGGGTTGTGGGGAAGTGGAATGGACCAGGTGGAGCCAGTAGAGAGTTTTAATCTTCAAAAGCACCCCTGGGACGCTGCAGCCTGGAGCAAGCTGAAGCGATGGGAACTGCTTGTCCGTCTGGAGCTGGTTGGCTCTTGGTGGTCCAAACCTGGGAATCTCGAAACATCGCATGTTGATCCTGCAGTGCATGGTGAAGGTGAACCATAAAGTGAAGTCTGAGAGACTAAATGTCTTCCTAAGTTCAGGCAGGACTTGGGTGATTGATAGTCTGGGGAGTCAGTAATGCTGGGGCATGGAGAGGGGCAACTTCATGCGGGGTGAGGGGTCCCTTCGCAGGGCTGCTGCTTGGACCGGTGTCCTGAGAAATCTGGATGCCGAGGTATCGCATCCATCTATTTTGCTTTCCCAAATGGCAAAGGCATGCGGGTGCATCCCAGTGGGGGACCAGCTCCTTGACACTGCCTCTGTGCCGAGCATCTCATCTGCGGGGCGGCGGGGGTGATGGATGGGTGCTGAGCTCCACCTGAAAGGCCAAGGCAAGGGGATAATGATTTTTCTCATCTCACCGCAACCTGCGGATAATGTATTCCTAGGCACGAAGCGGGAGGCTCTGCTGGCTTTTCAAATGCCTCGCACATGTTGCAGAGCCAGATGGCTCCCTAATTGTCCCAGGACCTGGGCACGGCACCGAGCAGGTCGAGAATGTGCCGTGGATGATCTCTCAGTTGCTGGGATGGCTGAGGTTGAGCCTTGGAGCCGTCCACCGCAGGGATAGCTTCTCCCTCAGGGAGGGATGGAGGAGAGGGGACTGGGCTCACCAGGACCCTTGGGAACTTTGCACCGGAGCACAGAGCTCAGATAAGGGGAATCGGCCCCCAGGTCAGCAGAAGTCATTCCCTTCCTCTGGGAACCATTCCCATTTCACTTCCAGCAGGTCTACGTGCTGCTGGGGGCGGAGGGAAGGAGACAGCTTTTGGAGATCTCCTTGGCAGTTGGACTTGGTTGCCAGCCCACAGACGATGGTTTGTTTCCAGTCTCCCTGGACCAGCTGGCAGTGAGGCGCCCATCCCAAAACAGCAATCTGTTGCTGTCGGGGTACGAGGAATGGCAGCCTTGCTGCAGCAAACAAAAGGGTTTGCACACAGCTTGTGTTCCCGCTCGGTCTCACTCGTTTACCAGGCTGCAAGAGCGCGGGGGTATCAGGCAGCTGGGCGAGATGCAGCTGGTGCTCCCCGTGGCAAGGGCACCCCATCTGCGCTGTGCGAGGCCAGCTGTGACTTGTGGAGCTTCAACAGGTCTGAAAAATCGCACCGAACCCGCTCCCGGCTCCGCTGAGGCTGGGCTTTATCGCTTTGGATTCCCCACAGAGCGAAACAGCTTCCCCAGCAAAGCGCGCGCGGGTGCCAAGTGACTTGGTGTAACATAAATCACGGGGACAAGCAGAGAAGTTCCCCAGGAACAAGGCTCGCCTTTATTTTTTAAGCAGGATACAGAAAATACAGCAGCAACTCCTCAAGCACCGAGTGTTTTTCAGGCAGGGGGACCTGGGGGAGTCTGAGCCACCGCTGGATGAATTTTGGCCCATTTTTTTGGGAGGATCAGGCTGGGGCTTGCTTAATGAGTGCGGAGGGTGTCTCAGGAGCCCCTTCCCCACTGGTCAGGTGTGGACCACAGGCTGGGAACCGCATTAGCTCCTGTCCTGGTTTCGGCAGCTTGCTAGCTCTGCTGCTTTTCGGTGGGAAGCGGAGCCCAGCCCTGGCCTCTCCTGAGTGCCACAAGTCAAACCCAAACTCGACTGCAAGCCTGGCTCAACCACCTGGCTGTGCCGAGGGGCTAGGGGTTGGTTTTGGGCTGAGACATTGCATTTCTGTCCGTCTGCAGTGGTAGGGGGAGCAGGGCTGTGGGGCAGGGCAAGGATGCTTGGACCGGAATGCCG